CGAGCCCTGAGAAGCTGATGATGGGTACAGTTGAATGAATGGATTACCAGTTGGATGTTGGTGAGGTCTTCTAGTTGTGCTCGAGATATAAATATGAGCATTGGCTGGCCGTTGTGTTACTGGCGCAGGCGCTACATGCACATATGATGATGGGACATATTCCGGTACTACGATGTTGCGTGGCAGAGTCGGCTGAGATCGGCTGTACGTAGCTGCAATGAAAACAGGGGAAAATTATGTATAATGAGTTACTGTAAACTATGCACATATGTATGTGTGTGTATAGCTTATTTTGAATTTTAGCTTTTAAAATTATGTTCAGTGGAATTTTAATATCAAATTAGCTTAGGAAACCTTACCTGAATCCTGACGGAAACCATTTTGATCGGCTGTATAGAAGACGGTTAGGTATTTGTCATTTGTCATTGGGTAAGAGTAGTAACCTTTGCGTGCAAGTACCATACTTTTACCATCAGGAATCCAATAGGCGCGTTCATATCGGGCATCACCATTGCTGAGTACATATCTGTTAAGAAAAATAATACAATTTCAAAAACATTGACCCAAAAGAAACTTGTTTGTGCAACTGTTTATCGAACACAAGTAGTTTATTCCATGTAGATGTAATTTGGATAATTGAATCGAAATCTGAAATTAAGCGGTCATTGATTGGCGCGTTTTCTTATTATTATCTCAAGAAACCTTCCATAAATCCCTCAAATTTGCAAGTTTTTTTACAAAGTTTGCAAATTTGGTACAAAAATTATAATTTTTTTTTCAAAATTTTCATGTTATTTTCCCATAAAATATACAGACTTAAAATTCTTTGTATGGGGAATGAGTCTACTCAATTAGCATAAATTTTGTGTCGCTGAATTCGTATACAAAAACTATGCTTATTTTCACTTTCTCACCTGACATAAACATTTGTTTTTAGTTTCTCAGTCAAAAAATTAGTGAATTCTTATACATTTTGGATCACCTGAATCTAATTATAGCCTAAAAAAATTTTCCTCAAATGCACCAAGTTTTACCTTCCTACGTATAAATTTTATACCGCTGAATTTATTAATTTTTAGTATTTTTTTTCGTTCTCTTTATTTAAATTTCCACTCATTTTCATTTCCTAACCTCAAAAGTAAAGAATAAAAAAACACAACAACTTTGGATTCATGGAACCAAAACTTATAAAATTTACTTATCTTCTTGGCCTGACTGAATTATAAGAAAAATCGACTACTACTCATTAGCTTCATACATACACATAGTAGAGCTCAACGCTACTGGAGCATCACAATCATTATTTGAGTACTATTGGATCTCACTAAACTCTTTACAACCGAATTTTATGCTCGCTGGTGTGCTTTTCTTCCTATGCATGGCCATTCCATCTTAGCTTCATATGCACTCATTCGCACCTCGACATTGTCTTTAATTTAATATAATCATTAAAGCTTACGAGTATTTTCATTTTACTACCTCACCTGTACTCATAGTGCCCATCCAATGAGCGTTCATCATATTGTTCGATGATTCTCGGATTAGTTACAGCTGCAGGATGGTAAACGCGTGCGGCCTGCTCAACAGAGTCCACCACAGGTGCGACAACATGTTCGTCTACACCTCCAACTCCTCCCACTACTACACCCCCTGCCATACCCACATCCATGCCAACATTAACGCCTTCACTCGCATCCACGCTTGCTAGTACATTGTTGTTGTTAACCACCGGCACATTAGTGGCTTGTTGTGCCACCCGCTCATGGCCATGGCCATTGCTCAGCGACAGGCAGGAAGCGCACAGGAATATACTCCAGATGACCACAAATTGCGCCATTAAAGTTATTTTATTGATTCGCCTTTCGTTGCACCAGAAACTTTTGCACTTTTAATACCGGATATCGCAGATTGCAAGTTGCGAATTGCGAATTTCGTATATCTACGAGTACGAGTACGTTTTATTGGTTTAACACAATTAACAACTTTAGCGTTGCAATGGATTTCTCTCAATGCTGCTGTAGGGTTACAGAACTTTGGTTTTTATACCCGAAAAACAATTTTGGTAGTGATGCTTTCTTCTGCTGGAATGGTTTGAATAAATGCCTACAATTGATGGTGAGATGTCCAAATGATGTGGTCCTCTTTGTCATTTAGTTATTGTTGTACTCGTATCTGCTTTTTGTTGAAAAGAAGCAGCTGCAACGACGATATTTTATTGGTGGTAAATGTTGGTAGGCAGGCAGTTAGGAAGAAGGTTAACCAGAATGTATGAGCAATAATACCAGTATGTTTATATGTACATATGTATGCGTGAATTCCATGAATTTTTAGGGTCAATCGACTTATACTAAATATGCAGATTTGTTTGCGAATGAGAATATTTTTTTGTTTGGGTATTTGCAAAAAATGCATTTTAGTTCAGTGTGAACACATTCTACTTCCATCTGCATAGGTACATATGTACATATGTATGCTTGTAGTGGTGTGCGTGGGTTTTTCGAATTTGAATATTTTTTGGTGCACGCAAGCGCATTTGAAAAGTAGGTTATGTCCACTAAAAATATGCAGATAATTTTTGTGGTCGTTGATGTCTGCATACTTCAGTTTGTACTTACCCTGTAGGGAACGGAATCGAACTAAAGTTTCTAAATAAATGATAAATATATGAAATACATATACTAATGGTTTAGCTGACACATCTTTATCCATACAAATGACAACGCACAAGCATTAAAAGGGGTTCAAAGATGGCAGCAGCTATTGTTTGTGGAAGAGTTTTCTGCTTTTCAATTGTTTACCAAGTTCGGAGTAGCAACCACACTGCAACATAGATTTTTGTTGGCTCCTAAGTAGACTTTGTCCTTTGCTACTTTGAGGTTAAATTTGTCCCCATACTCAGAGGGTACATTGTCTTCCGATAGATGGTTTTGCCTGAAACTTGTTTTGGTATCGAAAATCTGCAGCTAAGCGCATTTTAGGCAATAGATGAAGACCTAAACCAACACTGGATGTACACTAGGGTGGTCAAAAAGGACTAAAGTCGAAATTTTAATGTTCTCACTTTCTCGGATAGTTCTATACTGAAAAAATATACCCCTGTTATTTTATTTGGAGCTCAAAAAATATTTTGGTACTCTTGAAAATTCATATTTTTCGATCGGAAAACTCTGTTTCTATTCAGGAGACTTCCGATAAGAATACCTAATTTTTTATTTAACCATTTTTTTATACAAACAATTGTGTATAGCGCCTTCAAAAAACCGCAATTGGGGGACCCATAAAAATTGTTAGTAATAAAAAATGGTAACATCAATAATTGGGTATTATTATTGGATGCCTCCTGACGAAAAACAGACTTTTTCGATAGAAAAATATTAATTTTCAAGAATTCTATACCATTTGTACAAAAATTGTTTCTTTAACAGACTCCAAAAAAGGAGGAGGTTATAATTGAGATCGGTTTTGTTTTTTGTTTAAAAATTACTTGTTTTCCATATATAAAAAAAACGGGCATACTTTTTTCTATATAGAGCAATCCTAAGAGGGTAAGAGCATTAAAATTCGGGCTTAATTCCCCCCCCCCCCCCCCCCCACATGCCTTTTTGAACCACCCTAATGTACATAGCTATAGTCCGGCCCACAGTCTATTATGGGGCGCTGGTCTGATAGCCAGCGCTTACTACGCATTACCAAGCGGAATTTAAAGGTTATCAGATTATTAAGTACCTCCGCCGAACAAACAGTCGGATTTCAACGAGCCCGGAAGTTCAACTGGTACGATGTGGAGTGTCAAGAAGCTGCAGATCGGGCGCAACGCGAGCCATATGGCACCGTTATAGGGAACTGAAGAAGGAAGCGAGACGTATTTGCGTTGCACCCGGGTGTCCTACGACCCACTTTAAACCAGCACTCTTTAAGGAATGAGCAAACATATATAGAAAATACCTACAAACTCACGGCAGTCTGCACAGACCACCGGCCTGTTGGGGTAAATGTCGAAAAGGTTGACTTACGCTTCGATAGGTTCTGTCGCAGCTGCGAGAACCCGGGCTCAAAAGATATAGTCGAACACTTTTTGGGCCCATGTAAAATTCACTAAAGACGCGAAATAGCTGTAGAAATGCAAAACATAGCCTGGGTATCGCTTGAAGAATCTAGAAATCGCATAGGTATTTCTCTTTGAATTCCACTCGAGCATTTCCGCAAAAGCAATGTATGTCCAATCCATTACTGGATGAAACTTGATGCCGAAGTTTTTATTGAAAAATATTATAGGGCAAATAAAGTCCGATTTACGCTAAGTTACTATATAAAAATATATCGATGTCTGAGTGGAAGATCCACCTATCTCGGTAGCCAGTTCGAAAACGCCCTATCTCAGGAAACTTTTCAAGAACGCCCTACTTCGGAATTTTATTGAAAAACACCCTTATATCAGAATTTGGTGGAAGAACGCCCTATCTCAAACGAAAATACATTGAAAATGCGGTGAGATATGGCCTTTTTGAATCAGCAGCTGAGATAGACCGATCTTCCACTCAGCCATCGATATTATTATGTATTAATTATATTGCTCAGTGGCAAAGAACCTCTTCTTTGACGGAAATTTTCTCGGTCGTGCCATTCTAGGATAGGATACACTACAGTGGTACGTAGTGTCCTAAGGAGACAGCATTATACCTCCTCCTGGAGTGTGAGACCGTTTCACGTGGAAGGTTGAGGTACATAGGGAATCTATGGCCAAGACAAGAGCACATAAACTCTCTTCTATCTTCGAATTTCAGGAGTTTTAGGCCTAGCTGAGGTGTTGTCATGAACTGAGGACAGAATAGACCTACTGGTCGCAGTGCTTACTCTATTGATATCTACATATATATCTAATAGGCTAATTGAGTATGTAAAATTTAGATTAATCCATTAACCACACAGCCATACAAAATTCAGAAGAAATAATTTACATTTTCCGCCTACTAGAATTTACGATATTCGGAATAAGAAGACCTAAAATTTCGCCAAAATGGGAGAATTATCGCCGATTTGGCATCCCTGGTATACAGTCAGGCTGTGATCAAGGTCTCACGTTGGCAAATAAATACCAACTCTATACACATAAGGTTACGAACACCGAAAATTAGCCGGGGCTGATTTGGTCTATTTATTGGTCTTGTTTTTTTACGTGACGGGTCAGAAGTCCGAATAAGTTGGAGTAGCCCGAATGAAGCTTCCACGCTTTCTACCGTAATCCGAGGCTCCGCTCGGGCTGGTATTTCGCTCATGGGTTGCTTACATTGGCAGAAACATGGACGATGTTGAACCATGATGAGTGTACTTTAGGGACTTTCGAGAAATCTATTCTCTCTATTTCAAGATCTATGGCCCTAATGGCGTGGGCGACAGATACCGGAGAAGATTGAATGATCGCTTGAAAATGCAACGAATGCGTTGGCCTTGAAATGTTGTAAGCATGGGTGCTTCGATGAAACTATCCTTCGACCCGGGGTGGGTGTACAACGAAAGCAAGGACACTCAAGAATGCATTGAAGGAACCAAATGCAGAAGGGACCACATATGTAATACATATCTTTTTAATAAGCAGTCTAACGGTTTCTTGGTAGAGTGACGATGTTCATCAAGAGCCCATCTAACTTGACCTAACCTACCCTAATATAAAATCCTGAACATATTTTCGCTCTACAGGGTGTATTCATACAAATATTCTTACTTACTTGTGTTTACACGTATTTTTACATCGATTCCGCACTTTCTCCACCATCAAATTCACTGCAGTGCGGTGAAGTGGCGATGAACTCATCAAATTCAAGAATTTCTTTTTATTTTGAATTGGAATTGCAAATATCTGCTTCAGTTTCTTCTCGTTCAGAATATTCTTTATACAGCAGCGTAGCAGTCACAATAAAGTACTTTTTTTTATACATATTTGTATTTAAAAATGTGTTGCCAATATTCGCTTCCTTTCCAGTCTTCTGTGCGCGC